AAACTTTTCTTAGTACACACCCCCTACATTTCAAAATAATTTTAAATTATGCACATTGCCTTCCCACATATACTCATAAAATATTTCGTTTCTACATCTTTCCGTTTTTGTATAATTTACCGAGGTCAATGAGGTGCGCCCCCCTGTATATCCTCCCCACTCCTCACACGGTTCGAAAATTAATTAAATCCCGATTCGGCCATCCATCGGCAAAAATCGTCCGTTCGGAACCCCCCCTACCCCCCCATCTTCCTCTAACTCCCTCAAACAACCCCCTCCTGCGTTCCCGTCCCGAATTTTCATTTTATACGCATCTCCCCCTCCCTATCACCCCCTCCCGGTGACCGCCAATACTCCCTCATACCCCCTTCTTCCCCCTTGGCCCTATCCTAAATCACGCGGCTGACGGATTGACCGGACCCGGTCCCGGACTAAATGTTTGGCCCGGAAATTGTTGGCGCGAATTCCTATTATATATTTATTGTTTTCCACCGGATTCGTCGCTGATTTGGCGCGTGAAAATTCGCGAAAAGTCACGGCCGAAAATATCCGATGGCATTTTTCCGATTTTTTCACGCTCGAATTAAATTTTCCCGCCGGTTGATAGTGTTTTTCGATGGGAAATTTTCGGAAAATCCAGTCTGTGTCCTGTCGTGTTTCCGGTAGTTTTGGATATGGATTGGTTTCGTTTGTTAATACATCCTTAGCAGCTTCAACTCTAAGCAAGGCAAAAAAGACTAAGACTAGATCTATTGTGTCTCCCCTTTCATAGAGTCTGACTGACAAAAGCCAGTATCTGAAGTTTATGGTATGAATGGTTGTCGACTCAGCGCACTCAGTGATGTGATGCTCTGGTGTTTTCCCATTGTCTCCACAGAATCTGCATCCTTTCTTAGTTTCAGTCTACTGAAGTGTTCATTGAGGAGACAGTATCCTGTTAAAATCCCCATGAAAATCCAAAGATTGTTCTTACTTGTTATTGTTTTCAGAATTACTATAGTCTTCATTGCAAACGATTCTTTATACATGAAAGAAACATCAGAAAAGGTCAGGCGAATAACTAAACTGTATAACATTATAATATAATATCCTGACAACAGAAATCTTCAGAAAAAAAATATTTATTGGTTCTAGGTTCAAACGTCGCCGTATGTCCTACAAAGTGTTGTGAAAAAATGAGTGATAATGACGAGTCTTTGGATATTCAACGAGCTGCTGAAACTGCGCTATCCACGTTAATGCCCGAGAAGTCGAAAAACTTAAACGAGATCACCTACAACAACTTTGAAACCTAGGTCAAAGAAAAACATGTTGAGAATTTCATGAATTCTGATTGAATTTCAAAAGAATGTCATTTCGAATCTCAAATAAATATCAAAAACTGTCAATTTCGAAACGCTTTCACAAAAAATATAAAACACACCATGATGTAGCTAGTAAATTCATTTCAAAAACCTCAAAACACAATTTTTGACATCGTCGCAAAAAATCCACACTAGACATAACGAACCTATAAATCACAGTGAGCATTTTTTTCGTCCATTTTGACAATGCTACAACACGTGATACAGACATAACCTAGTCGAACACGGTTTCTAGCCAGTTTCCGCACGAAATTACTTGCAAAAAACTTCGAAAAAATCGGTCTTTCGTTTTCATTAGGGCCTGACAGTACTCGAAACGTTGTAAAATGTAAACTTCCGCTAAATACCCGGGTCGTTCCGTCCCTACATGTGTACGTCCATTTTATTTTGTTATTAACAAGTCGTACAGTTATAAAAAAGAGTACTGGACATTCGTTTTTATGTCCGCGCGGTAAATAAATGCTTTTGGAGTTGCCGACGCGCCGGTATGGACCACACGCGAGCCCGAATGGTCGTTAAGGGCTTGCGAGGTTGTCGCATGTCGGAAAATTTCGTTATATTTGAAGAGAATTAAGAAAATTGATTTAAATTTATATACAGAGGGTTCTGAAGCCAATCAATACAAGTTTTGTCTTCAGATAAGGAGTATGACCGTTTTTGGGAGTAGAGAATGGTTCTTTCTAGCTTCCCAACTGAAACCCAACTTCCCCCAAGCGGAACTCAAGAACCTGGAAGACTTTAATAATATATTATTTAATATACAGGGTGGTCCGAACTGTATTCCGGAAACTTCGGCAGCATATTCTGCAGATAAAAATAAGTAAAACAGTTCGTATAAATGTATATCCTAAAATGCGTAGTTTCGGAGATACAGGGTGTAGAAATTTCATTTTTATTTCGATTTTTTCCAAATAATTTATGAAGTAACGTAAATATTTTGATGAAAATTGGTGTGGGGGAGTTTTTTGACATGAGAAATTTAATTTTTATGTCAATATGACTCCTACTTGTAGAGGGCGCCACCTACATATTTTTTAACTGGTTTGAAGAGTAATAACTTTTCGTCCGTACCTGTATAAAATTACTGAGTGAAAAAATGTACATTTCCGTGAATTTCTACGTAAAAAATGTCTCTTAGTAAAAATCACTACGAGCAACCGTTCTCAAGATATTTACAATGGAAATAATCAATACATGTCATTATTGACTAAAAATAAACATGTAGAGTAGATAGTTATTTGACTGAAATGAGAAATTTGGGAACTTTTTATTTTTTTAAACTAATCATAAATTTTTCTTCGAAAAAATTGTGATAAAACAGTTTCTGTTGAACCTTTGGCACAAAAACATTTCAAATTTATGATTTTAGTCTAATAACTATTTAGTCAATATGTTTAATTTATATCAATGACGACAGGTATTGCTAATTTCGATTCCAAATATCTCGAGAACCATTACTCGTAGCGATTTTTACCAAAAGACTTTTTTTGTGTGAAAAACGTCGTAAATGTATATTTTTTAACTAGCTAGTTTTATACAGGTACGGACGAAAAGTTATTACACTTCAAACCAGTTAAAAAATACGTAGGTGGCGCCCTCTACAAGCAGGAGCCATATTGACATCGAAATCAAATTTCTTATGTTAAAAACCTCCCAGACACCAATTTTCATCCAAATATTGATGTTACTTCAGAAATTATTTGGAAAAAATCGAAATAAAAATGAAACTTCTACACCCTGTATCTCCGAAACTAAGCATTTTAGGACATACATTTATATGAACTTTTTTACTTATTTTTATCTGCAGAACATGTTGCCGAAGTTTCCGGAATACAGTTCGGACCACCCTGTATAACCATTCCTGCCATAAATTTTTATACGACTGATATCGGATATGGAAAACTAACCTCTATAAAACCGTCTCAGATACTGGCTTTTGTCAAAGCTCTGAGACTGTATGATGAGTTGTAACTCAAGAAAGGGGAACACAATAGATCTGCAATATCTTCTATGAATTTTTTTATGTAAATCGATTATACCCAATTTTTCTTGCCAAGAAAAACTATTTTTAAAATGCACCGGAGCAGAAAAAATCTTCACCCACTAAGCGACCATCAATTGCTTAACGTTATTTGCATCATCCTACCCTAAAACCTTCGCCCGCACCATCGCGAATTATCATCTCATTAATGTGAGAATCACCAAAGTGAGGGCGTTTCGAAAAATAAAGGGGTCCCTTCGCTAATTCCATAATTAAATTTCATCAGTAACGATATTATTATTGACGTAAGGGCCGAGAGTACGCGTCACACGCTCGTACACACCCTCACGCTCTCTACTCACACTCTGGAGTCACGCGTGACGCGTTCACGATCAACGTATGGCGCTTTTTAGATCGAATTTCGCCTTGACTGGTGTAGGAATATTAAATAAGGCAGAGCAGAGGACGTTAGCCCCTTTTTTGGTGGTGGCGGGAGTTTTGAATTAATTTTTGAATGTAATTTTGAAGTATTAAAATTATTAGGAGAAGAAATATTCGAGTAAATTCGAGTTTTACGTAGAATGTAGAATGTAGTAATAGATGATGATTTAGTTATCTTAGTAAGAGATCGGGAAGAGCTGATATCGTTGACCAAAAGACTAGAAGATCAGGTGCAAAAAGTAATATATATATTTCCACTTAGGAATGCAGAGCACGATCTTTATCTGCCAACCCCGAGCTCAGAACTAGTTAAAGGTTCAATACTGTACAATGCCAACAAAATGTACAATCATCTGCCTTTGAATATCAAGTCGCTTTCATTCTCTCCCGCATCTCCTCAGTCTCATTTGCCATCTCTCTCTTGGTGGGTAGGAGGACTTTGTTATTTTTGCCTAATTTCTTCAGCTTCTCTAGGCCTTCTTTGACCAACTTCGAATTGATAGTTAAGTATGTATTTCTATCTATCTAAAACTTTTTTTCGGATTGTATTGAAAGAAAAAAATGTGTGAGTGGTTCACGTAAAGGAGTGAAGAACTTCAACTATATGGATGATAGAGGCACCAAATATCAGCTAGAGGCAAGGAGAATAATCTCTTATTGGATTTTGTTTGCAGATGAATCCGCTAGAGAGGTACAGACATTTTTTTTTAAATACATAAAAAGGACATACTGGACATTATACAATACAAATTCAACGTCAAAATAGTAGGGAAGTAGCATATTCAAAACTAGAAAGAAAATGCTTGAAATGTAAACAAAAATATAGTAAACAATGTACTACATCTGTCAAACCACAAGATTGATAGGTACAAGATTGACAGGTAGGAAGTTAGTTAGTGGCCACATAAATCAGTCTTTGTATATTGATATATGAGATAATTATTAACATACCGTATATAATTTCTAATAAATAATGAAGTGTAACTATAGGCCCTGTTTTAAGTTATTTTTTTTTTAAATTTCCTATCCACTCTCTAAAAGCTATTAAATTAAAGCTCCTATTAGCTTAGGCGAAGGCTTCATTAAATTTTGTTATTAACAGACGCTCTCATATAAAAAAGTCGACAGTGTGATGACGTATGGCGTGTTAAAAAAATCACGCGACACAATAACATCATAAACAAACAAATTTAATTAAACTAAATGGTACTCACTAATGAATCTACTTCTGGGTCTGCTATGTAATAAGGTTTTTCTTGGCGTATCTGAAACAACAACAGAAAATCAGTAAAAATCATAACAATAAAAAGAATGAATATAATATTAAATAAAAAAAAAAACATTTTTAATATGCTTCTTGCTCTCTGAAATCTGTTCACTCCTTTTTTTCTTCCTTTCTTAAGTGTCGGCATGACGTGATTATAATATAAAATACTGGGTGCTACGCAAACCGGGGGGACCCTATTATTTCACGGCGGCACTGTGTTATTTAACGGCAGCACCACGGTCATTACGGTCAGGGGCGTACCAAAGTCAGGAAGCCTGATCGAATAATGTCGATAAAGGTGACGGTTCCGTAGGATATCATTACGCCGGGACCAGGTACCACCTACCAGAGGTACCACCACGTGCCTCCCGTCGTCGAAGGCGACTTTTTTTGACGGGTCCTCAGTCATTTTCGGCCAGATTTAATAGGTCTGATAACGGGGGGAGTTTTGGCATTCGAAACGTTAATTTTAAATTTTTTATTTCTGGAAATATTTCGTAAAACATCCGAAACAGATCGAAATCACCCGAGACAAGCCATGGTTGATTGTTTGGTTTTTATTGTTATGAATTAATTTCGGGAGAGGATAATTAAATTTTATCGCCGTGTATAAAACAATATTTTTTTTCCATAGCGTGTTACGTTTTAAAAAATATTCAGAAATTATTATTTCTAGGAATTTATTACGAGTAGAAAAAATATTGTGCTGGGTTGGCGTTGGTTTCTATGTAATTTGACAAATAAATGAATCGGTTATTTAGAAAAGGGCACATCTACCTAACCATAAATTTTACAGTAGGAAGAAAAAACATTTTTAAATCTGATCGCGTGCACATTTTAGTTAGGCACATATTTTTGTAGGTTCATTGATATGTCAGGTCCCTACTAGCAGTAATTTTTCAAAGATTTTTGAAAGACATATGATAAAAAAATGTTTATATTTATTTCATTTGTGTCCTTTTCTAAACTTATTCCAGAATGAAACAATGAAAATAAAAATCCAACATAATATATTTAAAAAAATATAGTTGTGTAGATATCATTTATTAACTTAAGTAAGCTTATAATAGCGAAGAATTTTTATAACAGTATTAAATGTAGAATGTAGTTGGGTCTACATTCTACATTCTACAACAGTATTAAAAGTCGTCTTCAGCTATCTCCTCGGAGGCCGTTGTTGGCCAGTCAAATATCATATTGTAAAATTCTTTGTTTTCCTCGGGGATATACTGGATTAGGGATCTCAAATTGTTAATTCTTTTTACATTGATGGGGACTTTGGCAGTATAGGCAGGTTTGGCTAATGAAAAAGATGACCTAACAAGACCATCTATATATTCAGAGACAATAAGCTCTCCAGGATCTGAAGAGTCGTATCTGAATCTATTGTAACTCTGAAGAGTCGTATCTGAATGTATTGTTTTGTGAAGAGTCGTATCTGAATCTTTTGTGTATTGTATTGTGAAATCTGAAAGTTTACTTTTTGATCTCTAGGGACCTTTCTTCTTTGTGTCTCAATAGACTGAACAGTTTTTTTTGTATGTATTGTTTTGTGTTCAAACGCGTATGTATTGTATGTGTTGGCCACCATTTTTTGTAATCTATTATTTGCGAATTTAGTACTTCCTTCACTTCAAACTTGCCAAATACGGATGCCTTCCTTTTTGATGAGCTCTATATATTCTTGATGGGTTCTATCGACTTTTCGTTTTTGTTTGACGGTCACAAAGTCTCTATCACAATCGTTAAAAGAATGCCCTCTCAGGGGAAAATAATGTACAATTTTCTTAAACCTGTTGTTTGCCGCCAATGCCATCAAGAATCGTACCACGGTATGATTCTTGTTTTGTCCGGGGCAACCGTCAGAAAATATCTAGAGCTCGTCTATAGTGTCAGAGACAAACTCATTAATATACTTCTGATAAATAGTTGTCTAAAAATGTACATACTTCATTGGGACCTTTTAATGCTTGTCCCTCATGTACGGGTGAGTATCGGAAAGTTCAAAAAAGTTCAGTTCGAAAAGGTCACATTGGTGTCACATGTAACCTTTTCGAACCAAACGCAGTAAAGCGGGTATCAAATTAATGCAGTTGTGGCGTGATATTTTGTGTCCGTTTCATACCAAATGGCAGGTCTTCAACAAAATTATATAAAAATCGCATAAAACCAAAATGGCCGAAATTGTTGTTTGTGCCCTTTTCCAAATAACTGATTCAAATAAAGCTGCCTCTTTAGTTGTCAGTTTTGAGTCAATATTTTTTAATTCTTCTTCGTGTCGATTGCTGATTGAATTGGAGCCAGAAATTGCTCAAAACGAAATAAGTAAATTACCAACAGATATTCAGGCTGAGGCGACAAATGCCGTATCCAAACTACTTCCATTTAAATCCCGAATAACTAGAACCTTTGCGATTAAAGTACTATTTTATCTACTATTTTTGAGAGATATAAGGCAATTTTAACAATTGCTATGGAAAAAACAAACAAAACATTCAACAAATTCTATATACTAATTCATTAGAATAAAATTAAATAATAAAAATATTGTAATTATATTATTTTAAATATATTTTAATAATGTTGAAAAATTATAGTATATTTTTTTATAATAATCGCCGCTACTGTACACGATAATATTATCCATTTCCTGTTCAATAACACTGCTAAAACAAATATTAACAAAAGCACAGTGTGCATATTTGATCCTATTCAGCAGACATATCTTTTTTTTCCTCTTATTTAACTACCATATGGGTATCCTTGGTTTATTCTTATTTATGTTAAGTTTGATATACACTTATTGTCTTTGTTTTGATAATACACATACTTTTCAATAAAATAATGATTGCGAAGTCGAAAATTTAATTTCACTTGTAAAAAATCTTTTTAAAACTAAAATTATTATTTTTTCTCGATATTATTACAAGACAAAACCTACCAATAATCCTATATATATATATATATATATATATATATATATATATATATATATATATATATATATATATATATATATATATATATATATATATATATATATATATATATATATATATATATATATATATATATATATATATATATATATATATATAATATATATATATATATATATATATATATATATATATATATATATATATATATATATATATATATATATATATATATATATATTAATCGGTTTAAAACGTTCTGCGTCTTCCGATGCTCTCCATGCACCGTTTCCGAGAGATCTTTCCTCCATAAATGTGTCAATCCCTTCCTGCCAACTTCTTCTCGGTCTACCCGGTTTTCTTCTTCCTGCAGGTTTCCAGTTTATAATTTACTTTGGGATTCTTATTTCTGCCATTCTTTGGACATGCCCGTACTATATGAGTTGACTGTTCTTTATGTCGTCCACTATCGTATGTTTAACTTCCATAATCTCTCTTATGCGTTCATTAGTTATTCGCTCGAGTCTTGATTTGCCTGCTGATCTTCTCCAAAAATCCATCTCTGTAGCTTCCAGCATTCGTTTTGTTGTTTCCTTAATTGGCCAGACTTCACAGCTGTACGTGGTTATACTCTTTATGATGGTATTGTATATTAGAGTTTTGTTCTTGTTGTTTATGCTTCTGTCCCACAGTATCCCATTCAATACCGTGATAGCATTCCTTCCAAGTTGGTTTCGTTCTTTAATTGCTGTATCCAACAGTCCATCATTTGTGATTTGCATACCCAAATATTTGTATTTTGTGCAGCACTTAATTTTCTTCCCTTCTTCTAGCATTAGATCTTGTTGTTCTCCTCCGATACACATATATTCTGTTTTGTTAGTATTGATCTCGAGTCCCCATTTCTGATATTCTTCTATAAGCTTACGTGTCATATAATTTATGTCATCGTAATCTTGTGCTATGATCACCTGATCGTCCGCGAAGCAAAGTGTGTAGAGCATGTTATCCCCTATGGGTACTCCCATATTTCTACATTTTTGCTTCCAACCTTTGAGAACTTGTTCGGGATATATCTTGAACAGTGTTGGTGAAATACAGCACCCTTGTTTCAGACCTTTGGTTCCATTAAATCCTGTTGTTAACTTTTAGCCGACTTTTATTCTAGTTTTTGTTTGTTTATATAATGATTTTACTGCTTTTATTAGCTCTACATTTATATTGGTTTTTCCATAGCTTCCCAAAGTCTCACAAGGGGAACGCTGCCGTATGCCTTCTGCAGGTCCACGAACACAAGATGTAGCTCTTGGTTTAGATTGCTCTTTTTACTTATTACTTGAGTGACTGTAAATAAGTGGTCCACCTCGATCTGCCAATAATCCTACTAACGATAAAGTTTCCTATTAGAGCTTCTCGGAAACCTACTCGATTTTAGTTTAAAATAGGATTTCTACCACAGAACATACAGAAGAAGGCTAACTCCCGTCTATCTAGTGTGCTAAGAATGAACTAAATCTGGCGGAAAATTTGAATATACGATTATTTTATTATTTTTATGTTAGGGAATGCCGATAAAATTTTACCTGTGATCCAACGCCATCATCAAAATAATTTACTTCAGTGAAATGTACCGAGAAAAAACTCATTAACCGTATCTCAGTATAAACATAAAACATGGTCGTGGCTTATTACATATAATAATATATCCGTATGTATTTAAGTAAAGGGACGCGTTGCTTATAATTAACCATTTAACATGCTAATTATTACTATAAACAAAGCGCGTTATTTAATCTACGATTATGCCCGTACCACGCTTGTATTTATGCTCTTATCGGCATTATTTAATCTTATTTTATTCAACGTAATAGGTACTACAGTAATGGTATTATCTAATAATAGAGCAGCTAGTTTTTCTTGATGGTATTTGCGATGCTGACTTTGTTAAAATGCAAATTTTCATTGTTTCCTGTTAAGGAATTATATAATTCTGTATTTCTATAAGAAACTAGGTTTTAGATCTCTCTATTCCATATAAATAAATACAAATCGAAGCGAA